TATATATATATATATATATATATATATATATATATATATATATATATATATATATATATATCATTGAATAATATAGACATTTTGTGTCTACTTATTTTTATACTGAGTGAAGCGCCGTAGTTTTTTTTTTCCGTAATCCAAGTAATTTCGATCTTTTCTATCATCATCTTCAGGAGTAAATTACAAAGACAAAGATTTTACGCAATGTGTCTAGAGATTCGTTATTATTCTCGGATCTAACGGTTAATCGCGGATATCCAGGTCTTACATTAATTAGTTAGTTCGATATCTAATCAATTTCTTTTAGTCTTCATAAACATGGAAAAAAAAAAGTAAGTAGATTTTACCATCCAAGAAAAAAGACATTTTTCTCACTTTCACGAAGATCTTATCAACAGAAAAATAATAAAAGAAACAAGAGAAATACATATTTTCACTCTTCACGACCCGCCTCCCACCACCACCACCACCACCACCAGGCAAGAGAGTAAAGCTATTAAAACACGAGGGGGTTACAGGGTGTGGGAAAATACGGAATTAATAATGAGTGGGAAGAAGAAAGACTAATCAGGACAGCAGATAGCGATTGACACTGCATTTAATTCTTTAAAGACTAAAGTTGTCTGGAAAGCATGGGGCCAGAAGGGGGGTTCCACAAGCGAGAAGTGCGAGAAAAGACACTGTTAGCATAGAATTTCAACAATCGGTTGATGAGATATCGAGGTCATTTATTGTACTGCTTTAAATTTTAAAAAAAATCTAGGTACCACAGCGAAGAAATCACCGAACTTTATTTAAATCGGTTGACTAAAAATCAGGTTGCTGATTCTTCTTTAGGTTTTATCAAGGAGCTCAAGGTAAATAGCAGGAGCGCCGTACCATATGTGGCAGCAATATTCTAAGCATGGACGAATGGTAGACGTATAGATTGAGAAAATTCCAAGAATTTTCAACCATAATCAAAAAAAAAAAAAAAAAAAGAAAGATAAGCACTTATAAAATTGATTTGGAACGTAAAAAAAGCTTTCAGTTCACGAGATAAAAAAAATTGTCCAAAATGTCTCTGGAAGAAAAAAAGCCATCATTATGAAATAAGGTAAGAAATAACTAAATATTAATACAAAATAATAGAAACAAGACGAAACATCCCTAGATATGGGCAGCATAATAAGAACAAGCGACCTCCGTATATTAAATAAAGTGTTCTGTTCAAATTCGACAAACACATGAAGAAGCCCCGAGGGACAACAGCCGAAACGTTATGATAATGACAACGATGATAAAGGCAATAAACCAACTGTCAACATCATCATCAGTCCTTTGACTGTTTCAATCGTTGGTGGGTTTGCTAAAAGCAGAAGAAACTGGCAACCTCCTCCAGGATAATCTGTTGCCAGTGGATTTCAAGAGTTTCGGCATTGTCATGTCCATTCTCTCTTTGATGTCTGACCAGCTCTTGCGTTGCGTCCGCCTTCAACAGTACCTTGCATCATGGTCTTCCTGAGGCTGTTATGCTGTATGAGCCTACGAGGTTTAATAGCGGCAAGGAGAGATTCTTCCTGTCGGTCCACGAGACTTCTGACTTTGCTCCATACATAGTCATTGGTTTTGTGCTCCTAGTAGGAGACGTGAAGAAGCTTTCTTGAGCATTTATTCTCGAACGTCTGGCCCTTTTATTCTACTCCAGCCACGAAGTCTCACATCCGTAGAGGATGATGGATATAACGATTTGTAGAACTTGAATTTGGTCTGGAAGTCGATGTTGCTTTTCCATATTCGTTCCAGTCAGGCCATCTCTGCTGTGGCCGTGGCGATACGTCTGTGAATCTCTACGTTGTAGGTGGCTTCTTTTAACAGGGTTCCTCCCAAGTATTTGAAGTTGGACACTCCCTGCAGTGGTTCGCCATCCATGGTACACTGAAACTGGTCTTGCATTTGCTATTCTCCATTAATTTAGATTTTGTGTACTGTGTTGAGTTCCATTCCATATCCGTCGGCGCTATGAACAGGTTTGTTGTTCAGCCTTTGGAAGTCAATATCTTCTGCGGAACCCAGATTGCAAACAGGTATATATAGATAGAGATAGAAGTGTTGCGGACGTGGAGGGAATTCTGCAAAATTCTCTCCAGAAACAGGTTGATGAATGTTGGAGAGAGTAGCCATTCATGTCCGACGGTAGATAATAATAACGAATTATAAAATATTTTATATATTTAGGACGATTCCTTTACTTGGTGCTTGTAAAATCTTCTTTCAATTTCCTTGATGATATTTACGAAATTTTTCAAGATATTTTTCTTTCCCCTTGTTTTTATGTCCTTTGACATTGATTTTCTAATCCTGCTAGTTGCGCAGCATTTGAATTCCAGTCAAAGATGCCTCGGAAAAAATTACAGCCTGATGATGAGGACATGAAGTTTTTGAAAAACCTTGCTGCTCTAAAAAGACACTAGGTCCATCTGACAACAATTTTATACATAAGGATCTCATCATTCAGTGAATTTTTAGTAGTTTAGTGCTATATTTTTTCGCGAAGAGATTTCGCCATCAATTGCATTAACATTGCTAATTCATTCAAGGTATGATTATCTCTTTATAATTTATATATATATATATATATATATATATATATATATATATATATATATATATATATATATATATATATATGTATAATCGTATAGTCAACTCTCCCGTCGAATTCGACGTATGAGGTCAAGCAGATCAGTTCCCAGGAAACCGACAGCCCGACAACAGCACATGAGATTTGATTATAGTCGTGAAGGTTTCGTGCAGGACCATCCACACTTTTGAAGGGCCGAATACAGAGATCTGGTGCACTACGAGCCACAAGGTTCCCAAACGACTCTCCGCGGGTTTTGAATTCAGAGTTGTCCTTCTCCTAGGCCAGTTGCCATCCAAGGCTATAGAGCCCAGTCTGTCCTGCTATTTGCCCATAGCTGGAGGTAGAAGAAGAGGATTCACACCTTATATATATATATAATATATAATATATATATATATATATATATATATATATATATATATATATATATATATATATATATATATATATATATATATATATATATATATATATATATATATATATATATCTCCTAAGTGGTCTAGTGGTTTGGGGTTCGATTCCCCGCTTGGGTAATGTGATTTATATGGGCGCGTGGGCGAGTGGTTAGAACGTTCGCTTTCTGACCAACAGAACAGGGTTCGAATCTGACCCCGGTTGATTTGTCAGGATGGAAACTTCCTTGTATTATCGGTCTGGAGTACGGCAATCCCAGCGTGCGGCACATTTGGAAAGTATCTGATAACCATACCAGGGGCTGACGGTACATTAGCACGAAGTCACAAGTCATCGCGATTTGAGTGTGCAGGCCTTGGTCAGATTGTACATAACACGCTCTCTCCCAGAAACAGGCGGGCTCTGTGGGTGTTGAATAAGCACAATACCGCTGAGCAAGCCCCTACAACAGGGATTGGCTAGCCGGCGTAGTAGACGGGTATTCTCGAATACGAGTGCCCAGCTATTCTATATCTATCTATCTATCTATCTATCTATCTATCTATCTATCTATAGATAGATCTATATATATATATATATATATATATATATATATATATATATCTACCTATATATAGAGAGAGAGAGAGAGAGAGAGAGAGAACAAATAGGAAATAATGAGCAGTCTAATAATTATTCCCTCGCATTCTGATCTGTATTTGATTCCAATATATCTATATATATATATATATATATATGTCAATCTATTTTTGTTCTTCTAAACTAATACAACAAAAATATGCGTTCTCAGAAGATATGAATATATTTGATACAATGCTCAATACGCTTTAGAAGTGGGATGCCTTTGTAGATTGATAGCTGTGCAGGCTTACAGATCACACAATATAATATATAACTATCTCCATATATATATATATATATATATATATATATATATATATATATATATATATATGTGTGTGTGTGTGTGTGTGCGTGTGTGTGCGTGTACAGATATATATTTATCTGTATACATATATATACTATCTATATACATAGCACATACACACATATTTTATATAACTATGTGAATATATATATATATATATATATATATATATATATATATATATATATATATATATATATATATATATATATATATATATATATATATATATATATATATATATATATTTTTTACCATATATACAATATAACATAAAGATGTGTGTATGTCTTTGAGTGTGTCTAAAACAAATTATTCTATGTCTAAATCAATGGTCGAGATACCGTACTAGGTTTTTCGTGGCATTTCTCGGCCCATAAGAATTACTTGACAGATTCGATGTTCTCTATAAATAACGTGTGACTGGTTGTACTGGATTACCTGCCCTTGATCTAATCCCCGACATGAGTTCTTACGAATGTTGCTTTCAGGTCTTTTTCCACTGGATAGAAATGTGAAAAGAACAAACATGATGTCAACCAAGTAGTGATTTTCAAGTTTACAGACGTTTATTACTATACTTGGCACAATTTAGTATTTGAAACAAAGTGCGTAAGAAAACATTATGTTGCACTAACCTCCCAGTAAGAAATATGGCTGCCACCTTGTTGTCGCAAGATATCATGACACGAATAACTTACTCATGAATTACTAGGATATCAAGCAATGGCTGTGCCTGAAATTCTTCATATAGTGAAAGACGTTGCAATACGTAGGATTTATATCTCCTTTTTCTTTATGTAATCAGTAACATTAATTAAAGATAAGGGACCCAAGACTCCCAGTGGACTTTCCACATGACTGGACACCAGGCAGATATTTTGACATCCCTACACCTGTGCTAGATTTTATCAGAGTTTTGATAGATTTTGTTTTCATCTTGTGTTTCTAGCAACTGTCATCATCAAAAAAGCCGATGACGTAAACATGCGGCAGTTAGTATTGGGTTACATTGTACCAGTAGAACTCATGGAGGGAATCGACTCAGCCCCACTCTATCTATCTATCTATCTATCTATCTATCTATCTATCTATCTATCTATCTATCTATCTATCAGACTCCTTGCCAGTCTTTTGTACAGGAGTAGATGTTTATCACTTTTTTCCTGTTTACGATTGGGCTTTTTGTTTCCGGTTCCTTCAGAACTTTTGCCATTCTCTTTCACTTCCGGTTGCCCCTTTCGTCTTAGTGGCATTATCTTTGTGCTTGAAGTGAATTCATTAATATGCAAGGGTTGCTCCCAAAGTAGTGGTTCCTGGTACTATTCGTCCATAACGTCAGAGGTTGTAGTTGAGTCTGAACGTTTCTCCCCAAATTCAGCTAAATTATTAGTGCCTCACAGATCTCTCTTTCAATTTCTTTCTTTCTTTCTTTCTTTCTTTCTTTCTTTCTCTCTCTCTCTCTCTCTCTCTCTCTCTCTCTCTGTACGAATGACAATTTTACTTTCTTTCACAGTCTCTCTATTTTTCTCTCTCTTTCTATTTAGGTGCTTATGTTGAAACCGTCACGCCATATCTTCGTCCTTTCCTAGCACGTCTCTCTTTTTCTCTCCCCTTTCTCTCCCTTTTCTTTGCTCTCTCTTCCAGTCTGCATAGATGATATATTCATTATGCCGTAGTGTATCTGCTTTCTCTCTCTCTCTTCCTCTCTCTCTCTCTCTCTCTCTAGCTCACATTTTTATCTTTCACGTTATTTCTCCCATTCTCACGGTCTCTTTCTTTCTCTTTGTCTGTCTCTTTATCTGCCTTGGTGACAAGTTTAGTACCATTAAAATTTTCTCTCCCTCTCTCTCTCCCTGCCCCTCTCCCTCTCTCTCTCCCTATCCATCTCTCGCTCTCTCTATCTCCCTCTCTCTCTCTCTCTCACACACGCACGTACACACATACTTTTTCTTTCCCTCGTTCTTTTTCTTTCTGCCTCTAACATTTTTAGGTTTTTTACTTTCTCTTTTTTTCGCTGTGTCAATGACTATTTTATTATCCTTCAAAGTATCTTACTTTTTCTATCTCTCCCTTCTCTGCCTAATTGTCTTTCTTTATCTCTCTCACTTTTAATTTCTGTCCCTTTATTTCTTTTCATGACTATCTTTCACTCTTTCTCTTTCTCCCTATATTTCTCTGTCTCTTTTTTCTCTCATCTTATTTCTTTCTTTCTTTCTTCCTCCTCTCTCGTTTTTTTCCTTTTTATCACTTTTTTATCTTTGTCTTCCGATTTGTGTCAATGCCGTCTTTACTTTCAAACTACCTGTCACTTTCTCTCTAATTTGCTCTCTCTTTTTTCTCACTCTCTTTCAAATTATTTCTCGCTGACCATTTCTTTTTGTCCAATTTTTCTTCTTCATTTTCCTTCGTTTTTCTTTTTTTATTTCCATCTATTATTTTCCCTTTTACCGATTTAACTTTTTAAAACTTATTTATTCCTTCTTTCTCCATCTCAAAATCTCATCGTCTTTAATTATTTTAACCAAATTTGAACTCCGCATTCTTAACAAACTTATGAATTCTTAAGAAATTTTTATTTCAGGCTCTTCAAATATTTTTGCTTCATTTGTTCCTATATTTTTCTTTTCTTTAAGTCTCTAAGATATTAGCATTCAACACAACTTCAAATAGAAGGTTGGGAAGGAAACCTCCATCAATCCTACAGGGTGCCGATTAAAAAGGCTGTAAATTGATTCATCGGGAAAATACGCCAGCTCTAATTGGTCCATCATATTGGCCATCTAGAAGCCCAGATCTGAATGTTATGGATGCCTGTATCTGGAGTATATTCCTAACTCACTTACAAAACCGTCGTCGTGACATCGTCGAGATTGATTTATTGAAATGGAACTTAACTGAAGCTTGGAATGAAATTCCTCTCGACACTATCCACAAAACTACTGCCTACTGGTTAAGACGTTTACAACTTTGTGTTGAACATTCAGGCAAACATTTCGAACAACTGCAATGATTGTTCAGCTTGTGCATGCAACATAACAGCTAAATACTGTTGGTTTTTTTGTTTGTTGAGCATGCTGTAAAAAGAGCGATAATAGCTATTGCACCTATTTTCCTGAAAAGTTGTTTTAAGGGATAGATTTTATAAATTTCAAACTGCAGTAGCATTGGTAGGATAAGAAATCGAGACCTTCATGTGGATGTCATGCATGGCGCTTGGCGCGTCCAGAAATATGCAATCTGTCAACTGATTCCTAAGATCAATGGTGAAAACGGTCTTTGAGCCAGTGAAGCCACAGAGTCTTGGCAAATATTGCTTTTCTTTGAACATTGTAGATTGGCGCTACAAATTCACAAACAACTCGTCCAAACAACAGAAACTATATCATTTGAAGATTATCAAAAGCAGCAACAATTAAGATGGATAAGTAACTAAAAGAGAAAATAATGACATAATCAGCACGTTGACATTCCGCACATACTTAAACAAAAGGCTAGGAAGGAAATCCCCATCAATACCAGAAAGAGCGATAACAGATACTGGACTTAAGGAACCTGATTTCCTAAAAAAAGTTCTTTAAGAGAAATATTTTATGTATTTGAATCGAGAACGGTAATGGCTGTTGGGTCAATGAATGCCAATTTTTTTCTTGTAGAGCAACGGCTAATATTACCATTTCTTCGTGTTTTGCTTTCAGCTTAAGTTCCAAAAGTTCTACATTTTATACCAAAAGCTCTTTCTGTAACTATTCTCTTAATCTGTCACCCTCAGTGTCTGTAAAGTTTACAATTTTCTCATCTTTCTACTTTATATCCAATGACATCCTCTATATCTTACACTATCATATCAATAATAAAATTCAGATCAATAATAAAATTCATATCGGACTTTCTCTCTCTTTCCCATACTCTATTTCTCTTATTCTCCCACTCTCTATCACGTTTACCTCTTTCTAACTGGATCATCCATATCGACTGTTTCTTTTGTTTTAATCTCTCCTTTACCCACTCTCACACAACCATCTTACGCCCTTACGCATTCCGTTACAGCCTCCAATCACATCAGCTTCTTTTATTTCTATTCTGCTGAGCGCAGCCCAAAGCCTCCATTCACCTTCCTAGATACTGGACAGACAGACAAATAGATTATGAGTCATCACACTGCAGTCTTCAGCCTTGCTTTGGCCTATTAGTGCCCAGTTATCTAAATAAATGCGAACCGGTCGAGAGAATGAATGAAAGAAGAAAAAAAAAAGAACTAAATAATCGAACACTGGGGAAGGCGTAGTACGAGAAACTCAAAAGTGAAAGAGAAAGTGAAAGTACAAACTCTTAAAGCACAGAAAGCAAAAGAAAATGACTGGAAAATACATGTAGAAAAGGAAAAAAAACGCAGTTTTAATCTACATATAAACCTAGGACGTACAAACACACAAACACACACACACACGTGCGCGCGCACACAGACATACTCTCTCTCTCTCTCACACACACACACACACACACAAACTTTCCCATTTTCATTGGCGAAATAAAGATGTTTGTATTTCAGGCAAACAATCTTGATTTAATTATTTATTATTAAAATGTCTTATATTCCAAGCATTTCTACTTTCTTATATCTTTTTTTCTAATTCGCTTCGAGTCAGAATTTCCCGCGGTTAAGATTTTTCGCTTCAAAAATTTGAAAGTGATTAACAGTGTGAAGTTTTTGCACCTACAAAAGCACACTTATGCATGATTGTGTTTGTATACAAGGATTTGTACTCATAATTTTGTAAAGAATATAAGTAATGTTTTAATGAACGCTTCGATTTCATGTACTCCTTCAAGATTTGTGCAATTCATTTCTCTTTGCTTTGATACCCCACGTTTCTACTATATCGTAATCTATCTATCTATCTATCTATCTATCTATCTATCTATCTATCTATCTATTTTAATTGATTTTTATTGTTTTAATTGACTTGAAATCTTTTTTGTAGGAAACTCAGTAGCAATCAGATCTGTTTTCTTTTACTTTGATATGGATACTTCTATATATATATATATATATATATATATATATATATATATATATATATATATATAATTATTCTATTCTTAAAAGAGTGTTCAATACAGAGTAGAGCAATTGAGCACTATTTTAAGAATAGAATATTTGCTCTACACTTTTAAAGAATACCACACACATATGTATTTGTATGTATATATGTATTTCTATGCATGCATGTATATATGTATATGTATATATATATATATATATATATATATATATATATATATATGTATATATTTTATATATATATATATATATGTGTGTGTGTGTGTGTGTATGCATCTGCATTTATCTAAATAGCTAACTACAATGACGCGCAAAAATGATGAAAAAATATTCTAAACTTGAAAGAAGGTTTTATCTACAAAATCTATGTGCTATTATCAAGAAGAAAAACCAAAGAAGTTTTTGGTTAATAAATTATATTTTTAAAAACTTTTTAGAACCTTCAAATTTTGATTAATTTTCGTGTCAGCGGGTGACCATAAATTAATATAGGAAATTTTTCTGTCCTTTTTGCGGTGAAAATACTGATTTGGAAATTCTTGTAAAAATCAGATAATTTCATTGAAAATTTCAGGACTTATTCACAAATGAATGCAATTATTTTAGAAATGTTTGGTTTTTAAAAATATTTCTTAAAGTTCATTTTTACATTTGTTAGCCACAAACTTTTTAATTTTACGAAATCTCGAGAAATTCATTATTGTAGGGCTAAATGTTTATATTAATTAAAAGCAAAAGTTCTTGGAGTATTTAAATCATTATCAGTTTGTAAAACAAATGCCAGATACAGGAAATCTTCTCTGAATCGTAAAATAAAAATGCAATAAAACTAACATTATTTAATTAGAAAAGTTTTCAATTGCTTTTATGAATATGATACATTATGGACACTATTGTGTTAAAAAATCGATGAATGATAATTTTTTTACAAGATTTGTTTTCATTTCTAAATGAATTATTTAGGATAATTTATAAAGTTTTAAATTTTCGTGATATTTTAAACTAAAAGTAAGTAATATGTTTTTCAAATCAGATTAATTAAACTTAATCTGTTCAGAAAAGTATATTTTATTTTTGAAATATTTTTTTACTAAAGATAATGATGTTGTTCTGAGGGAATTGTAAATATAAACTATTTTTAGCGACTTAAAAAACTCATTCTGGTTAATTTTAATTCGTTTTGAAATCAGCGAAGTATTTTGCTTATTGGAAATATTAAATTTAATCAATTAGCTTGGAATTAAACCTAAAATAAAAGCTTCAAGAAAGTCATTCATTTATCTAAAAAAACAAAATCGATATTTTTCGATTTCTTTTTGAATTTGTAGGTCTGATGAATTGGACCGTGATTACGATTCCAATGTAATGATGTATTTATTGTTTATAGTTGGTAACATATTTATTAGGATTCCCTTGAAGTATTTTTGACTTAAAGAATTACGTTCTTTTTTTAATTATGGGGGCCTTTGGAAAATGAAGTTTGGCCAGTTTTGTTTCTGTATATTACGAGCGAGTTTAAAAGGTTGTCTCAAAAAAGTTCTCTCTTATATTTATAGATACGTACATTTAGATTTCGAGATGTTTCGCCAATATAAGTGTACCTACATTGCAAGGGTTTTATTTGATAAATCCACGCATCTGAGATGGTGTTGGATCTATTTGTCTTCCTAATTATAGCTTCGATTGTCTTGGAGATAATGGTAAAGAGCTTAGCTTTGCGGATAACATTTATTTTCAAATATTCTAGATTGAGTTTTAGAGAATAGGATTATGAATTTTTGTGTTGCTGATGTTACATGTGCTATCGATGGTGTCAAATTTAGGGGAGAAATTTTGCTGATTGCATTTCTAATATGTATGGCGCATGTGTAAATATACATTGAAAACCACGCTAGTTGTTCCCAACTGTGGGACAGTTTTCCTTCTCTTTCTTTTGCTCTCAATAATCAATTGTTTGTCTTCAGCAGCAGTTGTCACATTTGGTGCTCCAGTTCTTTTTCTCTCTCAACATTTGCGACAGATTCTAACTGACTTTGTGATAAACACACTCCACTCTATATCTAGAAATCTTCAAATTCTTGTCAATTTGTCTCTGACATTAGAATTCTTTGTGTCTTCATCTCAATGCTTAGCTGCTTTGATTTTTGCCATTTTATGCAAATTATTTCAAAATTAAAATATAAATAAAAAAAATCTATGAAAATTATGTCGTAACATCACAATATTTTTTTCTTCAGAGACATTTACATACGTATTGTTTATAACATTAGTCAGGACGGAGTTAACATTTAGAAACTGTATTAACATTTAATTTAGTTGACAATTTTGGTAATCTCAAAATATCTACTGAGTGGTCAATGGTGAAAATAAATAAATAAGTGGAGTAATGGATAG